ATATATATATATATATATATATATATATATATATATCGCAGGCCTTTTCCGAGATCGAGGGTGTATGCAATCCACACCTCTAAGTTATCCGAGGGAATTTAGAGCACGGTAACAGCGACCACAATGTGATGGTTGGTAGTACTGCTTATCCAGTGGTAAAGTGTAACAATGTGGTGACACAATTTTTGGCCGCAAATAACATGTGAAACAGCTTTTGCGTATGCGCTTTCAAAAAAATCGGAGTTCGTACTGTCTTAGCAGCCAATAAAATAGGCGAGTAGAGCACTACACACAAGGGGCGAGACGGACCAAGTGGTTAGAGCGCGAATTTACGGACCAGAAGGTCCGTGGTTCGAACCTTACCTCAGCCTCTCGACTTCCCCTGTATAGGCTTGGGCGACCTGGCAGTATCCCAGCCCTCATGCCTCCTTCGTGTGGCATGGCAGCTAGGCACCGGAAGGGTGCTACAGCTGGACGATCATTATTACTATTTTACAACAAAGCACGAAAAATTGTCCTCATAGTGGATAAAAACCAACTACATGGAAACTATTTAACTTGGTGTCGAACAAAATCTCCGGCGAAACCTCATGAAAGGTGTCAAATGCAACTTAGCAGGATGAAAACGAATAAAAAGGAAAACTCTGCCAAGTGGGTAGCGGATAGCCATGATAATGGTCGCTAATCTTCTTCCATCACAGCTGTTGCAGTGCAAGGAAGACTGAACTTGCTTTATAATGCGCGGGTCCGAAAAGTCACAGATTGCCACCTAATAGATCTGTACGATGTCCGCTGCTGCTGACTCTCAGAAAAGATCCTAGCGTTCTACACAGCTGTTCAGTCCTTCTGTCTGGCTTAAAGGATTAAATGTGAGATCTCATGACTAGGGAAAATTATGCAAGGACTCAAGAACAGGAACGAAAAAGCTGTATGTACACATAACTAACCTATAGCAGATTGTGCACCGGTGTGGCTAAGAGAGTGACTACTGAAAACGGACTTTGTACCCACCAAGGCCAGGCCAATTACGGTGCAAAGCATACCGAACCAGTGATAAACATATAATTTCCGCTTCAGAAAGATTACCTGTCACAGAAAACAAGATGGAAAGTTAGCAATTAGTGATGAACAATCAACAAGTGCAAGTAATATGCTGACAATTAGAACAAAACTGAGTGAGAGCGTAACGAGACGAACAAAACGAGCAAAACGATCGAGGATCTTTTGACAGAAACTCATAAGACACTGGTAATGTGACACCGCTTTGGGGAGGCATCGTACATATGGAAACACCAGACCAAGCAACCCGAGAACTTGGTGTTGGTTTCAGCCCACTCATCACTGACCGGAACCGTTATATTGCTTCATCTGTCGAAACTCTTCTTATCTACAGGCTGTTTAATATTTACACTGGATCCAGTGTTTCAAAGCCCTTTCCATATAATTTAGCACACAATTTCCATCATAATGAAACGTGGGGAGAAGTTGGCCGTTACTAACAGTGAAAATTCACCTGGACCCCTAGGCAAGGACTGTCGGTTCAGTAGAAAGTAGCGTCGCCACGAGAGCGCGACACTACAAAAAAAACAGAAATCATTATTATGGTGATATCACTTCCAGCCGCGCAAGAAATAACGCCAACTTACCGACAAAATTCCAGCGAAAATGATTAATGAGCCGCGCATCATTTGCCAAATTGACGCGTCCACGAACAACAAACCGATACCTAAAGGTAGTTATAGAAAACAACGTGTGTACCTGCCAAGGTTGTTCCGAGAAGATCACAGGAGGCCGGCAGGAGAAAATACCAGTTGAAGAGTCTGGACCTAATGCCCGTTCAAACAACTTGACTTACGGGGTATCAGCGATTCCAGGACGGGTTGGATCGACCAAAAGCTGACGACGAAGTCCATCGTTTCCCAGTCGCCTGCGCTTTCGATAACGAATCACAAAAAAACCGAACAAACAGAGGGATTCACCAAGAAACATCAAAAGTGTTTGAAACCATGGTTTATTGAATGGATGCTCAGTTCGTGTGTCATTAGCTGAATGGTTATAGTATCCAAACGCACTAAAGTTGAGCAGTCAAGCAGAAAAAAGCAGCACTCACGTGCAGTCTAACTGGAGCTTTTTTGATACCGTATTGATTGTCCCGGTGATCAGCATACCGAAAATGAGAACGAGCTGTTTCGATGTGAAGCCCATTGTCGTTAAATGAGCGAGAAGCACCGAACGACGGTGGCTGCATGAAGGAAATAGAACCCACTGAGTACATATACGAGTTAGTATCAATGACAAGCAAAAGAAGAAAGACTGATTCAGCGGAGCGCATGGCAATCACCTCCGGAAAACTAGTAATCACATTTAGCACATAGTCAGTACATACATGGTACCTAACCAATACGTCAGCGAACTCCGGTTCAGTCTTGTCAATGCTTCAGTGGGAGAGACGAATACTGGCTAAACATTTACACACACACACATATATAAGTTGCGTTAGAACTTCAGTTGATCAAGCCCAACCAAACCATGTAACCCCCCCCCAAAGGCGACCTTAAGAAGTCGGCCTTACATATGAAGAGGATGTTATCTCTCGCTCCTCCGAACTCTACTGGGAAACCAATTAGTAAAAGAACCCTACAGAAGGGATCGCAGATTTCGGCACTTCCCAATATTAATCAGTACTTCGCTGAAATCAGGAAACACAACAGTCATCATCATCATCAAAGACAGCAATATCAGTGTTGACAATGATGCTTCACTGCCGTACAACCATAAGGTTCGTCTAGTTATATATATATATATATATATATATATATATA